CCCTTAAACACGTCTCTTATAACCATTTAGTTTGGACATCTCATGCACATGAAGCAGCTTCACAGAAAATAATAGATACATTTCGGGGAAAAATGACTAACAATGCAATTTGGAAACATTGTAAATGATGGAAGAAGAATTTAATGTGCCTCAATGAAGAAAGTTTGGAGCGCATATTTGATACATAAGAAGTTAAAATGCACCTTCCTCTGCTTGTAAACCTGTAAATGAACACTTGCGACCGGTTCATGCAATCGACCAGATTAGCGAGTACCGTTAGAGTCGTAAAATGTGATTATCTGCCGATGCCAATCGATCGAAGCATCCCTAATTTTTAATGGTAAAATCCTTGCAGAAAAAGTACAGAGTTCTACCAATTAGAGACAAACACACCAAAACAATCTTTAGTTTCGCCCACTTACATAAAGCATCATGATAATGTCAGCCTGCATAAGCACTCAAGTGCTTAATAATACTTTAATAATAAAATAATTTCTGTAATAAACTTAATTAAAAATATATTTTTAGTTGTTTTTAAACTACAACTAACCAATTTGAATGAATAATATCTCTATCATTTAATTGTGTCATTTGCAGTAGAGTTGGGTCAATAGGCAATGCCAACCCGCTCACGAAAAATACACACTTGGGCCCCATTTACACCAATATATCTTGGTTTCAAAATGGCATTTTAGAACGAAAACAATCCACACTGGCATTTCATCTAGCAATTTTTTCTGAAAAGCTCTCCATCCACACTATACTGCTGAAAATGCACATCATGTGACCCCACACACTGTCATGCTCTCGTCTGAGCTCCAAAACCCCAGAGAGCAGTGCACGTCGGACAGTTTATCAAGGATCTACCGCTGGATCGTGTCTCACTATAGTTGTTAAACGTGATATTTAATTAAACTTGTCCCGATCTAAAGACTCTTCGGTCTTTTAAATCTATCAGGTAACGTGTCACAGTGTCAGTACACTGCTTCAATCTTTTGCTTTCACGCTTGTACGCCATTTTAACGACACACATCACTCTGCCTATTCATGCCAGAGTCCTATGAAAAAGGGATTGACAGGTGGTAATTTGTGTGTAACTTATCTTTATACATTTATGTTTATTACTGGGTAAAACAAAGACCATGTGGGTCAAATACAAATAATAAATTTGTTATGAATTATTGAGTTATTCATAAATAATTAATTTGCCGCTGCTTACGACGACGCCCTCGTTCATTTCGATGTTTTACATTAGACATCATAAGATGCCAAATTGGTTGACATCGCCCAACCCTAATTTGCAGTGCTCCATGGGATCCCTTTTCATTCCCTCATTTTATTTTGTTGTTTATGGCTTATAACTTAATCCCACGTGGAATCTGTGCACGGAGAAATTCACAGATTTTCAGCTCATCATTGAGTCTATTTATTTACTTGTGTAAATGTGTCAATTTATATTTAATCAGTTTTTAAATCAATTTCAGTAATATTAGTGACTAATATGAAAATGTTCATTTGATTTACTTACAATACGGTTTGCCTTTTAGTAGATATATTATCTGAGAGACTTGCTTTGTTTTCCAAGTAATGGATCAAATAGTATTTGCATTGTAAACATTAAATAAATATGTATTCTTTTTTATTTAACATTAAGTTTCACCCAAATCATTCTGCATAAATCCGCAGATTTTTTACAATATTCTGCGCAGAAATAGCAAAAACATGTCCACAGATTCTGTCTGGCCCTACCAATGACACTTTAACAAAGATGTTTTTTAAAATGCCTACAGAAAAAAAAAATATTTATTTAAAAAAGAACCAACACTGCCCAAGAAGTAGGCAGAAAATGTTGCACTCTTTTGAATGATGCCAACCATTATCCAATTAGATATTCAAAGATTATTTTGGCAAACATTCAGGCTATTACTTCCATTGTAGGACAGAAATACAATATCCTCTTTCATTCTCAAATATGGCAAACACGCAAGTCAAATAATCATCGATACACACTGACTTCAAAAGATTATCATAAAACTCTACCGCCTGAAAAACCGAACCCTCCTGAGAGTTGCGGGTTCATAAATATAAATAAGAAACCCCAAGCTACCTCGCTAGCCATGAGTTGTTAGCCTAGCGATACATCAAACAAACTCGTGTGGCATGTTTATTTAATTGCTTTTCAGACTAAATATGCCATGGAAGCGCCAAGCTTGTTTTTCAGTTCACCATCACCGTCATTGATTGTGCTTACCATAAACTTAACACGAAAACATCACAAACACCAGCCATTTTGGTGAGCGCTAACTCCCCGCTAACCAAAAAGGCTGTTTTATTTCTAGTCTCAAACACCCCCGAGAAGAGAGAGAGATTATATATGGCCGTGATTTAGAAGTATAGTAATAAGCATAACAACACGCTTGGAATATAAATACGCAAACTTCACGAACACCTTCAACAGATGTTGAGCCAGAATCACACAAATGTTCGTCAGCTTAAGTAAATTATAAGTTAACACCGCCGAGGTGTTTCAGCGAACGTCATCGCAGCCACTGTTGCCATGAGACACGGAGCCAATATGAAACAAAACACTGTAAACAGATGATGGGAGTTATATTTAACTCCTCGAAATAACTGCAGTCATTCGTTAAGCCCAAATAAATGCTACACAAAGTGCGAGAAAAGGCAGTGCTAGGCAGCTGTAACCTTTGTGTTTATGAGACATAGGCTACTGCGAGCAAGTCACGCCGGATACTAAATTAATGACTACATACATCACAGCTTATTCCAAGATCAGAAGCTAATGATTGTTTTCATGGTAGAGGACGTAGCGTTCCTGGAGCCCTTGGGCTAATGAGTGTAATACTGTACAAACAGCACTGGAAGAAAGATGTAGAGCCTGAAACGAAGAGCCATTGGACCACAAAACCTCCATCAGAGCGTCCAAGCAAATGTATGCATCCATATATATATATCCACACAGGTGTCGTCTATATATCTACATGTTATGTACATTCAGATGCTTCACACCAACGGCCACACCGGAGTCCGTATCAAGCCCGCGGGATTCGATTATCACGCTTGGAACAGTCGGCTCTTCAAAGATTGACCACCGGTATCCTGCAGCGTGGCAAAGAGATAAAGAAACAGACGGCAAATTAAATTAATAGAAGTCTCGCTCTATTATGGAGAGTGAGATTAATTCTGAAATGCATAGAGCGGCAGGAAGGACTCTGATTTCATGGATGGCACGCTCTCTTTCTTTCCCTGCATCTCTGCTGTTGAAATATTCACAACCATTGAAGAAAACATCCACAACAACGGCTAACTGCCTGCTTTGTATTGCAAGGCATTACCATTGGTCTAGCAGCACATACTTATTGATGTTCCTTCAAAGGAATCAGCTGTACATAACATGGTGTCTGCATTTCTAGTTACAAATGATATTAGTTCACTGAATTCTGTTTATTGAACATTTTTCAAAGAATCTACTTAGTTTTGTAATGAAATAAAAATACTTTTTTTGGTTATTAAGTAAGCATCACATAGTTGTGTTAATGGTTAAAATAGATATGTTTTTAGATCAACATGTATGTTTTTCCACATGTTGACTATATTAATTTAAATGTAAGAATTTAATATTTAATTAGTTGAATGATTTTAAGGTAGGTTTTAATTTACTAATTTCATATTTAACAATATAGTACATGTGTGATCTAAAATACAGAAAAAAAGTAATAAAACATTTAGGCCTGTTTTTTCTGATAGTTTTTATCTTCATGGGCACCTATTTTATGCATTTTTCAAGATTTAATATGAGTCTTTTGTGTCACCAGAATGTGTGTGTAAAATTCTAGTTCAAAATATCCAACTGATCATTTATTGTCTTAACTTTCAGAGTATTGTTATTTTCAGCTCTGTGCATCTCGTAGCTGTTTTTGTTTTGTTTGCACAGCAAATGTGTAAGGACGCGCGTTAATACCCACTGCTGTATGGATATCCGGTATGTTAATGTACAAAATAAACCTGATTTAACATCCACAAACCAGCATTGAAGTGGCAACGGAGACATGTAAATACGCTGCTGTCAATCAATTCAGTGGGCAGGGAAACCACACTCCTACATCATGTTCAAACGGCCTCAAAAGGGGAGGGATTTGAATACTATTTTAAAGTCAGGAAGTTAAAAAAGAAGAGACTTTATATCACCCCAATATGACTGTAGACACACTATACCTACACACAGTTCTGTCCAAACACCTTCTAAAAGATGATTTTCATCATAGGTGCCCTTATATATATATATATATATATATATATATATATATATATATATATATATATATATATATGAAAGATTAAAAATACAATACAAATCAACAAAGTTTAAATCAGGGGTGTTCAAACTCTGTTCTGGGGGGCTGGTGTCCTGCATATTTTAGTTGTAAGCCCAATTAAACACGCCTAAACCAGCTAATCAAGCTTTTTCTAGGTTTACTAGAAAAACTTCCAGGCAGGTGTGTTGAAGGAAGTTGGAGCTAAACTATGCAGGACATCGGCCCTCCAGAACCGAGTTTGGACACCCCTGGTTTAAATAGTACAAAAAGTTTTTCTACATACCTTTTTTCTCACTAATAAAGTCCATGAAAAGTCATATTTAAAATGTATGTCATGTTAAATGATATAACAACATAATCTTAATATTTATTTTTTATGCAAGAATATTTGGCTGCAGTACCTTTAAAAAAAAAGCTTTATTAATTCTTAGTCTTTATCTTGAAAAAACCATCAGCATTCAAGACATCTTTATTAGAATCCATTTACAACCTCTTTATTTATTTGTTTATTTATTTGTTAGGAACATGAGCTCTTTTTTATTAACGGAGTTCCCTCTGAGAGTACCTGGTTTACTGCTCTGTTATCTCTATTTACCTCTCTTTCTATCTCTCTCTCCCTGACACACACACACACACACTACAGCCGAGCTGGCAGTGAGTCTGTTAGGTTTACCTCTCTCTGTCGGGGAAGGATGGAGTGCTGTGCAGAGTCTGCCTGCTGTCCTCCTGAGCGATGGGTCGGGGGATGGCGAGAGAGAGCGGCGGGGGACGCTGAGAGAGACTGCGGTCATAACTGCATGAAAGTGAAAGAGAGAGAGAGAGAGAGAGAGAGAGAGAGAGAGAGAGAGATTAGGACAACATCCAGGGGGAACTAACTTAAAAACATACACCGAAGAAAGTGACACAGAGGCGTGAAAAGAGAGATTAAATGAAAAAAGCGGCAAACCCTTCAGTGACATTGACAGGGAGTTCATTCACTCTCTGACTTAATTTAATAGCGCCTTCAGCGAAAACAAAGTAGAGGCAGGGAAATTAAAGCGAGATGGAAACGCTGGAATATTCGCTTAAAATCATATTTGTCCGGCAACCGTGAGGAAGACAAAGTGTCGCATGCACGGCGTGACGTGCCATGTAATATTAATGGCTCGCAGCGATATGCACTTATCTATAGTGACTCAGGCGGGAGTTGAGTCCAGCTCCGCTCTGACGGGATGATGATGACGGGCGGAGGCTGCTGGAGGTTGTTAAATGAGCGCGAGCGTGTCTGTCAAGGCTAGTGTGGGGCATACAGAGATTAATAGCAGAGAAGAGCTTGTGTATGCAATAAAATCGCCCTCGGCTCTGCTCAGATGAACGCCGGTCTGATCTTCTAGGTGAGCGGTGGCTTCACATTAACATAAACCCGTCGGGAGTTCGTGATGTGACAGCTTTAAACCTCTCTATCGATCTTACAAACAAGCCCACAAACATTGCCTTAACGTCTGATTTGTAGTGACCTGTACCATTGCTTTGCCGCAGTTTAAAGAAAGTATGTGATTGGCTGAAGCAACCACGATTTTTCAAGGAAAGGACAGCATGAATTTGTACGATGCGACTCTTACAGAACAATACAAAAAAATGAAGTAAAAAATTCTCCCCTAAACTCTTTTCCTATTAATACACATATACGCACTTGATCGGCTACCTATTACAGTGGCTGTCCATTCTTCGATTTGCGCATAACACATTTTGTCACCAAAATAGAATGCGCATACTAGACTATAATCACATTGTCTACTTTTTGTGTGTTAACAATGGTGCAAACACTCAAGATGTTGTTTCAGGGTAGGAAAAGAAATGTGAAAGTGACAAAACAAGAACAACAACAATCTACTGAAGACAGCAAAAATAATAAAAGAATACACTGACAAAAGCTAGAGATTAAAATGTGAGATTAGAGTGACGGGGACTCTACACTGCTTAGTGAGTGCCGTCTTTCAGATGAGACGTTAAACCGAGGTCCAGACCATTAAAAATCCCAGGATGTCCTTCAAAAAAGAGTAGGGGTTTAACTCCGGCATCCTGGCCAAATCTGCCCACTGGCCTCAGTCCATCATGGCCTCCTAACCCTCCCCATATCATAAATGGCCTTATCACTCTGTCTCCTCTCCACCAATCCAAGCTGGGGTGTGGTGTGCGGTCTGCCGCAAAATAGCTGCCATCGTGTCATCCAGGTGGATGCTGCACACTGGTGGTGGATGAGGAGATTCCACTCCTATCTGTAAAGCGCTTTGAGTGCCCAGAAAAGCGCTATATAAATGTAAGGAATTATTATTATTAAAACATGTCTACTATTCTACTGTAATCGAGTACAAACCCAGCAAACACAAAACATCATATGACGTTAATATTAGGTTAGATTTAGGTTAACTCAACGCTATTTTGATGTCCAATAATGACGTGAAATGATGTGGATATTTTGTTGATTTTAGGTTTTTAAAATTACCAAAATCTAACGTTGAGCCAAAATCTTAAACCAACGTCATATTAATGTCAAATACTGACATTTATTCGTCAGGTATGGCAACGAATATCAAACGTCTGATAGATGTCATATTGTTAACTATGGGGTACAACGTCAATCTGAGGTCATGTTAACATCCTGTGCCTGCTCGGAAGCCATTCTAATAGCTAAATGAAGGAAAGCGAAGACACTGGACAAGGGCAGTTCTTTCTTGCGTAAAACTTATTGAACCCTTCTACTACGTATGCTGTAAAATGGATCATACTTTAAAAGGCTGGACACTCAAAAAGAGACTTTTGCTCCTTGGTCAAATTACTTATTTAAAATGAGCTGAAACAGCACAATTCTTGAGGGTTTTTGGGTCAACTTAATTGCTTTTTGTTCAATGTACTTAACTGCAAATATTTAACTTAATCGATTTGTGTTGGGACAATACATAAGCTAACATATAGTTTAAGTCCATGAGACTATACAGTAAGCTGTTCCATTCATCATTTTAGCTACCAGAAGGAAACTTGCAAGCGCCTCCTTTGTAACCGCCCTTGATGTGCACTTCTGCCAAGACAACACTGAGGTGAACACCACAAAAGACTTCTGTTCAACAATCACAGCTGCAGTACTTCATAAATGGGTGACCGCAAGCGTTTGGGGTGACATCTGAGACAAGGCCATTTATTGCATTGTTCAGCTCTGGCATGAGGTCTCAATCGATGAAGGCCTAAAATAATGACCAGTACAAATGGCCGGGAATCTCAAGTGATGGGCCCTTTATAGTTTTGATACTTACTGCAAAGAGTGAAACCATCAACCATTCATGTTAAAGTATATTCCACTATCTGTGATCTTTCTCTCAAGAAATCATGAGTGAGTACTTGAGTAACCCTAACCTAACCTGTCGATGCTACTCAAACTTGTGCAAAATCATTCAAGAAGAACAGCGGGCCAAGAGTGTAGTGTATATACACAAAAAAACAATGCAAGTACACATAAAATTTGCATAACAGCACACTGAATGCATACCCTAGTAAATGCATAGTGTAAAAGATGTACAAATGAGACACAAATTAGCCATCGACTTGCCGAAAGCGTAAAATAGTTACGAACAGCCATGAGAGCGTGTTGGCGCAAGAGTTTGACACGTTCTGATGGAACTGAATTCAGAGAAGGGAACATTCTAGCATAAAATAAGGCAGGTGGTCATAAATCACGCTCATAACCTGTCACCCTGTGTTTATAGTTACTCTCAGGATGATATGGGCCGTACCTCGGCTCTCTATATCATTTTAATGATCATCTATGCGATCGAATGCTGCCGTCCGAGTAACTACAAATGCATTCCTGTGCCTGATGGCCCCCAACGCTCCGGGCTACATTTCTAATTAAACCAGCACAATAAAACACTGTAAGGTGTCCAGACTTTTGGTGTCTGCAGAGTTAGAATATCCATAGATGACATTTTTAATGGTCCTGCAGGGAACTCTTACTGAACAGCAGAACCCTCAGCTGAAAGTTTGTGGAAATGTGTTGTGTGAGACTATTATGACACACTGACTGTTCAGTCAGTCACACATACACACACACACACGGGGGAGCAAGCTGTCTCGGGGGACGCATGACAGAACCATGCAGGCAGAGAAGTGTTGAAACGTCTCACCAGAGTTTAGCTGAGATGACGACCGCGGACAGAATCAGCAGAGATGAAATCGTCACCGTCACATAAAACTGTGGGTCCACTGAAGACAGAAATCACAGAGGAAAAGAATAATCAGTGGGGGGTGAAATGGAAGAATTGGCTCCCTTTCAATGTGAATTTCACTTTAATTGCACCCGTCTTAAGTTGAATTTAAAATCTTTGAAGTGGAAAGACGAGATGTCTTTGCCAGTGTTCAGACTGATAGCCTACAAATGTGAGTTTTCAGGAGCAGATTTCTAAAGGTCGAATCAGGAATGTGAAAGTTTTTGTTTGATGTGTGTGACTTTAAAAATGTTTCAAACTACGATTATCACTTCCCTCAAATAGCAAAACCTGTCAACAAGGGTATGGGTTTGAATCCCAAATGGTGCGTAAGCTACAGTTGAGGTCAGAATTATTAGCCCCCCTTTGTGTTTAGTTTTCTTTTTTAAATATTTCCCAAATGATGTTTAAAAAAAGCAAAGAAATTTTCACAGTATGTCTGATAATATTTTGTCTTATGGAGAAAATCTTATTTGTTTTATTTCGGCTAGAATAAAATCAGCTTTTAATTTTTCAAAAAACATTTTAGGGACAATATTATTAGCCACTTTAAGCTTTTTTTTTGATAGTCTACAGAACAAACCATCATTATACAATAACTTGCCTAATTACTCTAACCTGCCTAGTTAATTAATAAAATAATTAATAAAATAATTAACCTAGTTAAGCCTTTAAATGTCACTTTAAGCTGTATAGAAAATATCTAGTCAAATATTATTTACTGTCATCATGACAAATATAAAATAAATCCATTATTATAAATGAGTTATCAAAACTATTATGTTTATAAATGTGTTGAAAAAAAATCTTCTCTCCATTAAATAGAAATTGGGGAAAAAATAAACAGAAGGGCTAATAATTCTGACTTCAACTGTAATTATAACATATATCTTGAATACAATGTCACAAAAAAAGTGAACTGAGATTTTGGGAAAGTCATTGTCCCTCATCCCACTTGCCACAATGGTCACTCGCCACTGTAAAACTGCTGTCATGGAAAATGAAATGGATGTTCTTGGCTGGTGGAAGATGCACAAACAATCCTACCCAAAACTTGCAAAATTAGCCAGATCAGAACTATGCATCCCGGCCAGTAGCAGCATCAGTAAAAGGGCGTTCAGTGCTGCTCAGTGAGTGCAAGACTGCGCTAAAGCCATCTACAGTGGATTCAATAATGTTCCTCCACAAAAACACATAGCCTAATCTTGGTAAGTAAAGGATTTTGAAATGATAACTAAATACTAATTAAACCATAAAATCATAATGTACACAGAGTATATAAGCTAATCAAAATATACTTGTCGGGCTCGGGACGAATTCTGTCAGGCTTGGGCCCTATCAGGCCTAAATTTTATGGCTCGATTACACCTCTAATAAGGAGTTCATGATGTACCCATCCAAGTAAAATCATGATATAATTATACAATAACATGACATGAGTTTATGATGATTAAATTAAGCATAAACTATTGTGGCAATTAATACATTAATTAACAAACAATCATGTACTAACAAGTAATTAAGGTAGCCGTTATTCACACGACTCATTAGTTATTAAATTCATTAATGTATTAATTAACATTAAAGTTTTCAGCTAAGTGTAACCAACACAGCTGTTACTGTAAATTACGTCATGACTTTACTTGGAGGGGCACATCGTCCATAACACATTACTAACTACTCATGAATTCCTTATGCGCGTCCGGCTAGTGGGTTTACACTGAATAACAATAGAAAAGCGTTCTGTCAACATCAACATGAACACTTATACATTAACAGCTTATGAGTAGGGCCAGACGGTATCTGCAGACGTTTTTTGCTATTTCTGAGGATAATTTTGGTAAAGATCTGCGGATTTCTGCGGAATTACTTTAGGAGTATCCAGCGGAGTATCATAACTAAAACCTTAATATATTAAATTAAAATGAATAAATTACTGAATAAAAAGTAAGTAAATTCAGATTTACACATTTATTCAAGTAAATAAACAGAATTAATAATGGGCTAAAAAATCTGCGGAATTCTGCGGAAAATCTTTGGAAAATCTGCGGAATTCCGCACGCGCTGATTTCGTGTGGGCCTACTCATGAGTTCTTGTTGGTGACATTTAGCTTAAACTTCAATGTTAATTAATACATTAATGACTTGTGTTGTAGTGAAAGTTAGTTGAGGATTAGCGCAAGCATTTCCTCATCATTAGTTCATAATAAAGTGAAGATACGTTTACACATTTACACATTATTCATGCACTCTTATTGTAAAGCGTAACAAAAACAGAAATGTACAATAGCTCAAAGAAAGCAGCTTGAGTGAAAGCAACAGTGAGCTACAGGAGAGCGACAGTAAAATGTGGGGGCGAGAAAGGGTGGGTGTCGTAATCAGGTAAAATTGTATTGATTGCATTGATGCCTCCCTCAATGGGAGGGAAATCTAAGCTCTCCTCAAGCGCAGATTTGCTACTATGAGGAAGCAGCGTGAGCCCAAAGCCCTGTTGGCAATGCAGCTCTCAGATAAAGAACTCATTTCACGCATACCAACCTTCCTCTGTGTCCTGCTTCTCTGTCTCCGTCTTCTCTCCAGCAGTCGGACGTTGTGTTTGATTGACAGGCGCATTTCGACGATGGGACCAGTCCTCGGACGTGGTCGCCTTCAAACTGTCCGTCTCCAGGCTGGACATGAGATGATGGGTCTCGTCCTCCAGGGGCTGCGTGGGACCCCAGTCCACCGCCCAGAGCTGGGTGGTGCTGGCCTGCGCCGTGACTGGCATCTGCATTTCAGCCAACTCCTCCCACTTCCTGTCATCTGTGTCACCGGTGGCAGTGCAAAAAATGACAGTGACCAGCAGGAAGCTCCAAAGGGGAATGAATCCAATGTGGGGAGAGATGGAGCTGGGAGGGAAGGAGAGACAAGCAACGAAAAAGACGGAAGGAGGGATTGAAAAGGAAAAGCTAGAGATCGGAAAAAGTGAGCACATAAGTGAGAGAGGCGTGAACCTTGCACAGATGGAAAGAGACTTAAAGCAGGAGCTGATGCAACCCAACGGGCTGCTGAAATTAACTGGTCAGATCTGAGAGCAGAGTGCAACCCAAACAGTACGCTCTGGCTTACCATCGCTCCATCGCTACTGCCTGTTCACTGACTCCTCGCCGCTCCGATCATCTCTGAAATGAGAAAAAGAGAAGGATGAGAAGAGAAACAGAGCTGGAAGGGGGAGGGCTCAGCCTTGACACTGACTAAAAGACCATAAACAGATGGCTGTAGTGGAGAAATACCCTGCTGGCTCTGAGACAACACAAATAAAGGCACACGCACGTTTACACGCGCACTCATCGACAACCAAAACCACATGCTGAAGCCTAGGAACTACTGTGGAACACACCTGTGGATGCGTTCACGGCTTCAAACCTCATCCCTCATCCATCAAACACAACTCAACATCTGTAACCAAGCTCACAGCGCACTCCAACAACACAAAATCACCCTGACACATCGCAAAACATGCAGACTCACACTCTCAAGGCAGAAATACGGACTCGCATACCTACCTCGTGCCACTGAAGAAGGGAGTGGGAGAAAGGCTGAGCGCCTGGAAGTGGGGGAAAGCATTGGTTGCCGTAGAGACAGAGACATGCAGAAATTGTGTGAGTGAGAAATAGAGTGCGGGAGAGGGAGGGAGAGTGAGAACGGGAGAGAGAGAGAGAGAGAGAGGAAAGAGGATTGGAGGAAAGATTGAAATACTAATTATGCATCTTAACTGGTTCAAATTAAATAGGCAGCAGCGAGAAGGAAAGAAATGAATTTTGAAGGCGAAAATAGCCGGACGGAATAAAAGAAGCGGCTTATTAATATTCCCGAGACCAGTTGAAGTAAATAAAAAGTACTCCGAAAGGACAAATGAAGATAGGCAGCGGCGGGGGAATCAATATACATTAATGTAGCGTTGGATGGGAGCCTTACATGATGAACAGCGCCATAGATATTTATAGGCAGAAGTGACAGAGATGATAAATACTCTCACACACACACACACACACACACACATACGGTCGTAACACGGTTGGTTTTATTGGATCACTGTTTACATAGAAAAACAGTCTGTTGTTTCTGTCCTCCTTCTGTTTCTGCGAGTCAGTCAATCTGTTCAATCCATAGTGCGCAACTCGGCGTTGTCGCTTGACCTTGCTTTCTCTTGCTTTACAGTTTGTTCTTTTTTACCCTCCTCCTTCCCCCTTGTCCTCCCGTTTTTCATTCACCCCTCCTCTCGCTCACTGAAGAACACAACGCAGCCATGAGGAACTTGCGGGTTCCTCTGTTTCAGGTGCATCCTGGGTCGTGGCATCTTCGTCATCAGCATCGTCTGGAGAAAGACAGTTCTGATGGTGAATTCTGATATTTTTGAAGTCCAAAAAATATGTAGTAGCAGTTTTATTTTTAAAGGGCAATTTCACACAAACGTCATTTACTCTCTCTTCGATTGCTTGAGTTTTTTTCTTCAGTTGAACACTAAAGAAGATATTTTAAAGAAAGCTGAAAACCATTGACTTCCATAACAGTTGTTTTTCCATTAATGGTTAAATGTTTTTATTCTTTTATTTTCCTTCAGCTTAAAGCTGGTTTACACTTCTGCGTCAAGTGACTGGCGTGACCCATGGCGCCTGCCTTGTGTGTAGTCATGTATTTATAGTTCTGTGTGCTGATTGTGTTGCTCTGCAGTAACACTTCCCAAACACTTGCTGGCAGTGAGGTTTTTATTTTCCTCTGTGTCGAGTTTCTTCGCTGGTGTTTTGTTTTTTCTCAATGCTACCTTAATGTAGAAGTAGCTAAAACTTGCTTATTCAGACGTGGGAACCGGTGGACGTGCAACAACTTTAATCATACGGTAAACACTAGGAATGCTCCACTCGATTGGCCAGAAATCGGTATTGGCCGATTATCACTTTTCAATACTCGATCGGTACTTACTAATCAGGGGTGCTTTTCCAAAACAACCACATAACTCACGGCTGAACTATCATAGTACCATGCATCGTTCGGGAAAAGAAAGAGTTTTTCCCAAACCCATAGTTTCTCTGTCGCAGATCCAATGTTTGAACCACGCCCATAATGATTCTCTAAACGGGGTGGTAACAACTTCTTTAGAGAATAACCCCATAATTTCTTTGTGCAAATTATTTTGTTTGTATAAAATCCAATATCAGTTTTGGTAAAGACATGCACCCGTTTTCCATATTAATTGAAACTGTACACAACTGTACAAAAGCAAACACATATTCTAATCTCATATGAAAATCATATAAATAAAAAATGAGGCTATTTATTAAGAAATTATATTTAATATTTATTACTTATTAGGAAATGAAAAAATCCTACTTTATATATATATATATATATATATATATATATATATATATATATATATATATATATATATATATATATATATATATATACTTATACAACAGCTCTGTATGGTTCTCAAATCTGATTGGCTGGTAGCCGTGCGATATTCTGCAATATCAGAACTCCTACAGTCTCTTTACCCTTTGTGTATTACTCCACCCACATACAGCCAGCAAAAAGCAGACACTACAGATCTAAAGTTTAAAAGATGCACGCTCAGCTGTTTAACTGTCAGCTTATGATTTGAATCCGGAAGAAAGTAGTTCCTCATACAAAAGGGTTTTTGAGACTCTCCATGTTTGATTTTGTTTTTATATACACAATTATGCTGTCAAACTGTTGTATAAACACAATATCATACTCGTAGCAGTGCGATATGGCTGTACAACGCACGCCTCCCACCAGCACCAATATACAGCCATATCGCACTGCTACTCGTGTGATACTGCTCATTTATATATATATATATATATATATATATATATATATATATATATTTATATAATATAAAATTAAATAATAAATATAATAATATGGCTGATTTCATGAACTGATCACAATTGTTTGTTCAAGAGTTTACAAGCAGAGGACACATAAGAACTGAAATCTTTTACATAACAGAACTGAATGTTCTGTGTTTTCAACAATATTGCAAGTTCATTAAATCCTGGCTGGAAATGTTTTTTCACTTGAATATTTATTGGCATAACTTATGGTATAACGTGTATTGTAATATACATACTGTAATAAGCAGTAGTTTATAGACCTAATTCCTTTAAGTAAAGTAGTAATGGATTTATAGGAGTGCATTTTACTTCTTATGCATTAAATATGCCCTCCAAACTTCATTGAGACATGTTGAATTCTTCCATGATTTGCAGCGTTTCCAAATAGCTTTTTTCAGTTGCTTCTGACCATGACATGTCTACATTAAATGGTTAAGTATCATATGTATCTTATCTATTATAAAGCTTAAAGCATCAGAATCGGTACTTGGTATCGGTTTACCACCACAACAAGGAATTGGTACACAGTATTGACTGCAAAAATCCTGATCGGGGCATCCCTAGTAAACACAAAATAAGTTTCCATCTGGAGCTCCTTCACGGTTCTCGACACTTAAAAACACTCACTCCATCAGGTTCGCGATTGTAGTTTTTCAAGACAGTGTGCGTCAGCGTCTGCGTCAGCCATGGCGAGGGCTAAGAGACCAAGCAAAGCACTTGACGGAGAAATATAAATCAGCCTTTAGTCCCTTTATTAATCAGGGTTCGCCACAGTGGAATGAACTGGCAAATTATCCAGCATATGTTTTACACAGCAGATGCCTTTCCAGCTGCAACCCTGTACCAGGAAACACTTATACACCATCACATGCACACACATTCATTCATTAATTCACCTGTAGTGCATGTTTTGGACTGTGGGGGAAACCATATCAGCCAAAGGAAACCAACACAAACATGGGGAGAACATGCAAACTCCACACAGAAATGCCAACTGACCCAGCCAGGACTCAAACCAGCAATCTTCTTGCTGTGAGGCGACAGTGCTAAGCACTGAGCCACAGTGTCGCCTATGTTTTCAATTTTCTTTAAAATATCTTCTTTTGTGTTCAAGAAAAGAAAGAAACTCAAGCAAGTGAAGGAAGGAGAGTCAATGACGACAGAAATTCCTTTCAAGTTTTTGCAGACTGATTTGCAACAGGTTAAAACATCTGTCTCTCTCTCTTACCCTCACTTCTGTCGTCTTCTGAGTCTCTGTCTGATTCCAGAATACAGTCCTCCAGTCGTCTGTCTCGTCTCACTGTGACATCGCCCCTAGAGGAAACACAGCAGAAGAGCGTCAGTGCAGGGCACTTGGGTCACACTGTTTACAAGGACAGAAGGATGTTTAACTCGGCCTGAAGCAAAAAGCCAAGCAACTCTGCTGACAATGGCGCGGCTGTCAATGGGTTTGGAATGACTTCATTATACAAACTGCTTTTAAAGTAGCAAGTATATCATTAAGAGTTAGGCAGAGGCAGTTAAACTTAAAAATCTTCTTCATTTCTGGCTTAAGGTGTCACATTAGTGTTATTTCAGTGAAATATGTGGAGGAAAAAGTCTTGTTCACACAGAAGTCTCTTTTAAACCATACAGCTCTCTTCTGGTTAATGCAATGCATTTGCAAGATCAGCATGAGCAAAATCTACATGTGAAAACTTTCCATCTCCGCATAATATTCCAAAATGTGCACACTGCTGTTCAAATGGCTAAATAAAGTCACAAAGTGAGATTGTACCTTTTGTTTTTTAGCAGTGGCTTGTTAAGGACTCAACTTGGCACCAAAATTGCTGCTTGAACATCTGAACAAACCTGTTTTGAGTAATACCTCACACAAACAGGACGATTCTGTCATTCTTTACTCACCATTCACTCATTCCAAACATATTTGAGCTTTTGTTGAACACAAAATAAGAGATTGTGAAGTATGCTAAAAACCAGTAGACATTGATCTGAACAGTATTTTCGAACTATGGATGTTAAGATCTAGTGGTGTCAAGGTCTACCAACATTATTCTTATTCAGAGATGTGCAAAGTAGGGCCCGTGGGCCAAAGTTGGTAACCTTTGATTTGGCCCACTATCCCATCTAACAGCAAGAATGATGGAGAGGGTTTGGGCGAATGCCTATAACACAGAGATTGTTATTTCTAATTTGACGTAACCTTTGTTATTTGTTTCATTGCTGAGCTGCAAAATATGTAAACTGAATTTAAATGTTTCAATTAAATATTGTAAATGAATCTGATTTTTAAACATGTAAATAGACAGATAGAAGACTACGCAGAAGACAGCAGCGTTTATAATTCTGTTATAAACAAGGTTTTGTTTTTACTGTAATAAGTTCATTATAAAATGTTTTTCAAAAACTGTATTATTTAACATAAAGCCATGTTTTCTAGTCAATTTTAACATTATAAAAAATTAGGAAATTACACGTGGCAACTATAATTACCTTCGGCCAACTAGCCTCAATTAAGTTTGGTTTTTGGCCCTTTATAGGAAAAAGTTTGGGCACCCTTGTTCTAAATAATTTGGTGTGCAACAACAACAAAAAATCTGAGTCTTGAAATCACATGAGAAGTAAAAGCATTTTTAGATGAACTATCCCTCCAAACCAGCATAAACTGGTATAGCTAGCTTAATCTGGTCT